TTCCTTCCTTCCTTCCTTCCTTCCTTCCTTCCTTCCTTCCTTCCTTCCTTCCTATTTTTGCACATCCTGCAGCTTGAACTGTGGACCTGGGTGCTATTGCTGAGCTCCTTTGCCCAAAGCTAGCACTCTTCTGTTTGAGCCACAGCAGCACTTCTAGTTCTGTAATGAATTGGAGATAAAAGCAGCAATGCTTGATAAGAAATGTACTCATTACCTTGCCCATGTAATTGTAACCCCTCTGTACAGTATTTTCACAATTAAAAAAAGTCTCAAGGACTTTCTTGTATGGCCTGGCTTTGAACTCCAATTCTCAAATATCAGCTTCCTGCATATGTAGGATTACAGCTGTGAGCCACTGGCCCTATTTCTTTTGTTGATTAGCATATAGTAGTTATACAAGGGAGGATTTAAATGTAACTTTTGCACTCGTGTATGTAATCTATTCCAATCAATCCCAGTCCCTATAGCATTCTCCCTTTTTCCTAAGACAATTTCAATAAGTTTTTTTTCCTTCCATATTATAAACCATCTACTCAGCAAAATATGTCTGCATTTACTCTCTTGTTAGTTCAGTTCCTCCTGATTAATACCCACCCTCCAACTTCTCATTGACAAGCTATTTTCATTGTGGTTCTGTAAGCTGCTTTCCCATATAGTTGTCTATATTTCAAAATTATTCATCATCTATGTTTGACTATTGCCATACCCTGAATAAACCTGATCTTATCTGATCCCATTTCTTTATAAGTAATGGGGAAAATGACAAGCAAACCCAATATTTTAAAGATTGTTGTAAACCTCATGTGACAATCATATCAGTTAAAACAGTAAAAATTACTATGCTCTAGTGTATGCATATAAACGATGCATTATTATTTAATACACACATAGTTACCCAAACTACAGTTTGAAATATCTGTTATAATGCCATGCCAATGTTGCTGATAATCTCTAAAATTTTATTGGGGTTTAAGTTGGTAGACAGAGGGTGGAGGAAGAGAAGGAGAGAGCGAGAGTAAGAGAAAGTGAGAGGTACTGTGAACACATTAGCCACTACTATACATTTCTGGATAAAAGAAGATATGCCAAAGGTCCTAAGCAAGACAGCCCCAAACATGACTTACTTTCATCCACACCACCGTTGCGTTCCTACTAGCAGATATTGTGCAGGACACGGGCAGTGAGTCTCCAATCTGCATGGTCACTTCTCCACTTGGGTTTAAGGATAAATCCAAATCTGTGAGGAGAAAATAGGTTTAACATGCTAAAGTTCAGTAAGATAGTCAAAATATTTTAGACAGGAATAGACGAATGAAAAAAAAATCATTCCAGTTGCACTTTAAAATTCAGAAGTGATTTATACGACTAAAATAGTGAGACTTAGCTTTGCAAGTAGGCTTTGAGAATAGCTGGCACAAATGAATGGTCATTCTAATTGATTGGGCATTTATTTGCAGGTTAGCAAAATTGATGTTTTGAGTTTGTATGTATGCCCTCTATACACTATCATCTTTAAGATGTTTTGTTCACATTTGGGAGGAAATAAAGAAAGATGATGACAAGGTAAATATTATAAAAAATAGTATGTAAGTCATAACACTGGAAAATCAGGTATATTTAGACAGCGGGTGATAAATTGAAAAACAATGAGGTAGACAGTCTGTGTGTTTCTTCAAAGAAAATTGACAAATAGGGTTTTTTTTTGGCAATGCTATTCCATTTCTCATGGAGTTGAAATTTTAAATAAGATATATTGTTCATGTACACTATCATTTTTTGAAAACATAGTTTAAACACATCTAAGAAAGGACCATTTTTCAGATGAAAAATGATTCTTATAACAATCTTACTGTCATAGCATGATCTGTAAGAAGAAAATTCAATTCAATTGAACAAAAATTTATTGTACAGCTACTACGTTCTAAGCACTGACAGGAGATGCAGAAGTGAGTGACGAGCTTACAATTTAGTAAAGTTGAGGTAATGTGAACATCCCTGACCGTAACACATGGTCCAGAAAATCAGCACCTAGCATCAAACCTACCACATAGAAAGAGCTCAATAAATAAATATTTGTTGAAAGATTAAACAGAAGTGAAAACAAAGATTTATGGGAGGTGTGTAATGCAGAGTAGATTGGATTTTCAAGCAATAAGTAATGCTTTGTATAAGAGACACTATGTTTTTGCGGTTCCCTGACAGTTGAGAAGTGGAAATGTGAGGTAAACCTTTGTCACTAAAACAAAAACAAAGATATGAAAGAGCTTGGCAGGTTTCACAGCAGTGATTAATCTGGTACTCAGATGAGTGATAACTCACAGCAGATACTTCTTCACCATTAGTGGAGGCCAGACCGACAAGGACCAAGCTTGCCATCCTGGGAGCTGGGACATTCCAGTAAGATATCAGATTTGCTGTTGCAATGTTTGTTTCTCTGGTTTTGCAGGCTTTCATTGTTAACATGTTGATTGTTTGAAGCACTGTGTTAATGCATCTCTTTTCTTTCAGAGCTGTAAGATTTTTGGGGGGTAATGACCACCAATTTTTTTTTCAGACACAGCCTCAAGCACCTTACAAGTGGGAGGTACTCAAATACTACTGCTGAATAGATGAATGACTGAAAGGAAGAAGTAGGCTTTCTCACTTTCTCATTCCTCATAAAGTCTGCACCATAAGGTTGAAGGTGGAGTTTCCTCCAAGTATTTGGGTCAATTATATTTAGATGAAATTTGTACTCAAGGTGATGAGCTGGAGAGTTAACTTGCCAGTGTTAACTAAGACCAAAGATTGTAAAGGACAATGATTGACTTTGAAAGTTCTGATAAAGAATCTATGCATGCAGGAATTGGCTGAGGATTGTAGCTCTTTCATGTGATGGCAAGGTAAGAATCTATAGGGAGAAACATGGAAGGAGTTCTATTCTGCAAATTTTGGATCTATGGCTTGCTTATTTCCTGCTTCACTACCCATATTGCCTTCAGTACTCTATGCAAGGGAAATAAATGCTGGTTTTAGAAAACAAAGCTGAAGGATAAATGGGCAACAATAGAACTTTTATGTTTGCATATAATGGAGAATAAAACTTTGATTTCCTGGCAATACCTTTTCTTAAGAATCATTTTTGCTAGTCTATATTTTTGCTCAGAAAGTTTCCTTAGGACATCTCTATATATGCTTACAAGTGTTTTGATCAGATTCACCCCCATTCTGAAGACAATTTCAACAGGTTTCCTTGGTCTGTTTTCAGACATAAACATAAATAGTTTTATACCATTTACCCTTACTATTCATCTTCCTCATTCCTAAGGGGAATCTTTTCTAGACAGGACCTGTTTTACATTCTTGACATTCACTTTTTTTTAAAGCATATAACAATAGTTTAAGGGGATTTCACTGTATTATTTCACACATGCATGTCGTATCCTTTAATCAAACCTCCTCTATTATTTTCTCTTTTCCCATACCTCATCCCTTATCATTCGATAGTAATACCTTCTTTTAAAGCTTCAAAAAGGCCTCAAAACTCAGGGCAGCAATTTACCTTTCAAAACTGAAAGACATTTCAATCTAATTTAACATACTAAAATCCAATCAAACGATTGTAATACATTTTTGTTTAATTTTACTCTCCATTATAGCTAATCATTGAGGTATGATATGGCTGTCACAAGTCTTCTAAAACGCCAATTTGCTATCTCCCTTCTCAACAGACCTACAAGCAATCCACATTAAAGAAACAAAAACAACAAACAAACAAATGAACACACACTTCATCTTTTAGGATCCTGTGTACTTGGCGTCTCTTAAACATAAGTGCACAGCACTATCTCAAAGCAACTGAGTTGTTAGTAATTGGCCCAAAGACATCACGAAGAAAGATATCAGAGAGCTCTTCCATTGGCAACTCTATGTCTGGCTGTATTCCCTTGCTCTACTATTTTTTTTCTTTTTTCATGAACCACAGCTTGATAAATGGTCCCAAGACTGACTGGTCTTCAGAGAAAAACAGCACTGTTGTTATACTGAGAGGTCACTGCTTTCTCTCTAACTAGCCCCTAATGGCAGACACACTCAAACCCATGCCACACAGCTATGAAAACACACAGAAAGGACTCAGCTGTGAGCATTTCTTAACAGTTCTCCATGACTACAGGATTCCCCAAGGAACACTTCCAACATCAAACAATCAAAAACAACCATCTGGTTGTCTTATTCCCCAACGTTTATACTTGCATCTCCCTCAAAGTTTTAGCTCCTATCCTCCATGTTTTGTAAACATTATGGTTAGAGTTAAAAGATGTAGAACCATGTACTCAAGACATTTTCTAAAGGTTCTTTAGTTTTGAAATAAGGAAATACATCATATTCAGTAACACTGTAGTGGGGCATGTCTAGAAAAATTCTTACCAGTGATGCTGCTAGGTACTTGGGAATTTTGGGGAAATTTGGCCTGTACAAGCAAGACTGACTATTGTTCAAAGCACTCTGTAAATTTAATTTTCATGAGGGGGGGAGTGTGAATGGTTAATTTTATTTTCATTATGAATCAGACATATTAATAATGTAAGCAATTACAGATTACAAAATATGGAACTTAGTTTGCTTTTTCAATTTCATTTATCCCCCATCAAATGCATGGGAGCCAAAAAGAACTTTTAAAGTATCTGGAGAGAAATATCAGAAATACAGAAATATATGTAAGGTGATTTGAAGAGTATTTTTTCCCAGACATTTATTCTTCTTTTATGTAGAATAATGCAGTCTATAAATGGCTTTTAGTTATCTCTATTCCTTCTTTTGTTAACCGAGTCTGTAGTAATTTTGTGTTGCCTGGGTTTGGCTGTTTATATTATTCCATAATTGTTTTAGAAAAGATATTAATCTATATCTTTTCTTGCCAACTATAAACCTTGTGGACTATAAAAATATCTAATAGGGACTCTGGTTATAGATCAGTGGTAGAAAGTTTGCCAAATCTGTGCTTGGCCCTAGGTGTGATCTCCAATATTGAAAAAGGAGAAATATGCATTTTATATGTAAATATATAAAAGTTTATATTGAAATAATGAGTTTTTTCATGAAGATGCATATGGGACTTATTTATTAATAAAATACACTGGTGTCAGAAAGAAGATGAATACAGATTGACCCACTGTAGCAATGAGATGTACAAGACACTACGATGAAAACAAACTTTACAACTTGGGGTGGGGAAGAGTTGGAGAGGTGGGGAGGGAAGGGAGGGTAGGGGAAAAACAAAGGAGGAGGTAACAATGTTCAATAGGAAAGGTATTCATTACCTTACTCATGTAACTGTAACCCCTCTGTACAGTATTTTTACAATAAAAATGTATACAAAAAAAGAAAGAAGATAGAGGTTTACAATGGACAGCAGTTGAGATGATCATATCTATTCCAAAGTTGTAGTGCAAATTTGGATGCAAGTGGAGCTTATTCTGAAGCTCCTTACTGAACCAATTGAAACCAAGTTATTTAAGGAAGCTATAGTTGTAATTTATTGCAAAAGTTATCAGCATCATATTACTAGAGGATTTTAAAATAAGGCTGGTAATGAAAACAGTGACTTACAGTGAACGGTGATGGTTGTTGAAGCCATCATGCTCTTCTTGTCGATCAGGGAGCATTTGTAGTCTCCTGTTGCATTGCGCCTCACATCTGTCAATATGTAAGTATTTGAGCTTCTTATTCCTTCAGGCTGTCCCTTTCGATAGAGACACAATATCAGATAAATCACTTGGTAGCAACAACAAGAATATATATTTCTTGGTGGAAATAGATAACGGGGAACAGGGAGAATGTGTTTTAATTGGACAGCACAGAGAAGGATTAGGGTGCTTCTCACATCCTGGAAAGGTAAGTAATATTTAGAGCCTAAGAAATTTTGAAGATACTGTTTATGTTGCATGAATATCATTTGTTCTTATTAACAGCATGACTTGTGTTTCATTATTAAAGTAGATTTTGTTAAAACAGACAATATTTTACCTAATCTGAGCACCTTAAGAGAAAATATGTGATATATCTAAATACAAAAAAGAAAGGAAGGATAGAGAATAATGAGAAACAAAGAACATGATAAATAAGAAAAAGAGGGAGAGAAAAACCAAAATATATCACATCAAAAATGGAAAAACAGGGGGAATAGGAATATGCTAACAAAAATGATGGTCAGGACACATAATCACAAAAGCTGATAACTACAAATTTGTCTCTGGCATCCTTGATAATCAAATTAGAATCCAAATTAGTTCCAAAATTCCCATTTGCAAATGAGAAAAGCAATATATGCCAATTTAATGGGTAGAACAATTTTCTTGATGAATAGATAAAAATGTGATATATATATATAATTATATATATAATTATATATATATAATGGAATTCTATACTTCCATCAGAAAGAATGACTCTATCTCATTTGTAAGGAAATAGAAGGACTTGGAAAATATTATATTAAGTGAACCAAGCCAGACCCAAAGAAACATAGGTCCCATGGTCTCCCTTATTTGTAATTAGTATACATCTAGGATAATCTTAGCAGATGAGCAGAATAGCTCAATAGCTATGTACCTATGACCATATAAGATGATGCTCATCGAAATGAACTCCAAGACATGGACACAAAAGGTTTTTCTTTGTTGTTGCTGTTGTTGTTCTCAATGTACTATGCGATTGATTTTCTTTTTTTCTTTTTTCAGTCAGTTGTGGGGCTTGAACTCTGAGGTTGGGCACTGTCCCTGTGCTCTTTAGCTCAAGGCCAGCACTTTACCACTTGAGCCAAAGCGCCACTTCCTTCTTTTTTTTTTTTTTGCCAGTCATGGGGCCTGAACTCTTGGCCTGGACACTGTCCCTTAGGTCTTCAGCTCAAGGCTAGCACTCTGTCACCTGAGCCACAGTGCCACTTCCAGCTTTTCCTGCTTATGTGGTGCTGAGGAAGTGAACCCAGGACCTTATGCATGAAAGGCAAGCACCCTACCACTGAGCCACCTTCCCAGCCCTTCTTTTTCCTTTACTGATTTTCCCCCTATGGTTTATCCCTATTCGCTGTGTTCAATTTTGGTATCCTGGGTATTCTATATACGTTTATCTGAACTAGAGAAGGGAAGGGGAACAAGAAAATGATGAGACTAAAGGGGAACCAATGCAACAGCAATGCTCACAGACAGTATGTGGGAAATGATCTGTACAACTTGGGCGAGGTTCAGGGGTAGGGAAAGAGGGAGAAAAATGAGGGAAGGGGTAACAAGTCAGACAAATATTATCATAAGCTTACTTATGAAACCCCTCTGTACATCAAGATATCTTGACAATAAAATTTATCAAATTAATTATTATAAAAGTGATGTACAGAGAGGCTACAGTTACATAAGTCAGGTAAAGAATGTATTTCTTTTTGGACAATGTCACCTTTTCCCTCACTCTCTCCCAATTTTTCCCACCTTTCCCCATCCACAAATTGTATAGTTCATTTTAAACATCTTGTCTAGTGAGTAACACTACTGCATTTGTTCACCATTTTGTCCCTCCATTTCTGTTTCCATCTTTACCCTTCCCAATACAGATGAATAAACAGACAAGACAAAAAGAAAAGAAAACAACAACAAAGAGAAAAAACTCTTGTTTCTATTTTTAAGTTCATTTTGATAAGTATTATTTTCTATGATCACACGCACACAGGCATTTAGTCTTGTGTCCCTCCCCCAAGAATATCCTCCTTCTGTTATACTTTGTGTGAATGCCCAGAGTCCTGTATAGTTTATCATGTCTCAGTGTATTTTAGACCTAGTTTCCTCATATGAGAAAAAAATGTGTGGCAGGGTAAATAATTGATGCTATGTAAATTACTTATATTATACTTTGGAGAGATGTAGTGAATGATGCTTCAAATACCAATAATATGTGGGTACGTTCATAAGCATGTTTCTATGTAAACCGTATTGAGTGGCACATGACTTTCTTCCATGAAATAGGAATTTCAGACCGTGGGAGAGCAAAGATGTTTCAGATAGAATCATTTCCTAGTCAGATGTCATGTCACTACAATATCTGCAGGGATGTTGCATTGTCTTTGCTTTTGATTCTTTTTTTTCATGATCAACTTTATTTTTTATTTTTAATAAGTTTTTATTGTAAAAATACTGTACAGAGGGGTTACAGTTACATGAGCAAGGTAATGACTACATTTCCTATCAAGCATTGTTACCTCCTCCTTTGCTTTTCCCCTACCATCCCTTCCTTCCCACCTCCACAACTACACCCTCCACCCCTGGCCTAAATTGTAAAGTTGGTTTTCAACACAGTGTCTTGTACATCTCATTGTTACCATGGGTCAACCTGTATCCCCATTTAAACATTTTGTTTTCTCCTTTCCCCTCACTAAATTATACCGATATCAAACAGAGTGAAAACCGGGGTTATACCGTGAGGGGAAAACATACAAAGCAACAACAACAAAAAAATCCCATTATAAATAAGTTAGAAACAATAGCAAGAAAGAAAAAACCACTTGTGTCCATATCTTGGGGTTCATTTTGCTTAACATCATCTTATCTGGTCATATGTACATAGCTTTTGACCTTTTCTGCCTGTCCCAGACATATACTAGTTATTGCAAATAAGGGAAACCATGGAACCTATGCTTTTGGGGCCTGGCTTACTTCACAATATAATTTTTCCAAGTCTTTCCATTTCCTAACAATTCAGTTATGATATTTTAAACGTTTAGGAAATGATGATGTTTTAGTATACACACATGTGAAATCATACGCATGCTCATATATATGTATGTATGTATGTATACACACAAGCACGTGCACATGTGTATGTGTGCACACACATATATATGAGCTGAGGGCATAGCTCAGTGGTAGAGCACTAGTCTCATATGTGTAAGGTCCTGGATTTGGTCCCTAACATAATTAATAACAACACCACAATACTATGTTACAATATGAATGAGCCTATAATGTTACTCTATCTACAATCTAGATACTAGAACTACCCCCATCAGAGCAGATGTGTGTTTAGATAATATTGCATGGATAAATTTAAAATCATTTGATGTCATCAGTTTTCATTTTATAGCTATCTTCTCAAGAACAGGTTTTGATAGTTTACTTGGACAATGAAATCTTGATTTTTTGAAACTGTGGTTTCCTATGTTGAAATATTTTCTTTTCTCTTTGTCTGAGAAACCTCTAAACTTTAAGAAAAACAAGGCAAAAACTTGACATGAAAATGTAAGTTTCACAAAAGGCTTCAAAGGACATTCTACAGGTGATATTTTATTGTCTCTAAGAATAGCACGCTTTCTTTCTGAAGGCATCCGAGAACATGTAATTCTTAAGGCCAGCTAGAAGCCAAATAACAGGACAAAATGAGAGTAGTGGAGCACTTACTGGAAGGTAAAACATAAACTCCTCAGGAGGAGGATTGCCATTCCCCAAGCACTTAAGGGTAATGTTGTCCCCTTCTTTGATGGCATTTTTTGGCGGTAGCACTTGTATTGTCACTTGCTCTGTCGGATCTGCAAGAGTCACAGGTCTAAGTTAACCATTTTTGTCAAGTACCAAATTACTCTGTGCATTCAATGTAAATGACTAAATTATACACAATTTTCTAAGGAAGCTAGTAATAGTAATTACTTAAATGTATCTTTTTATAGTGCGATTGAAGTTAATAGCCACTTGCTCTACCAAGTACTAATCTTAGTTAGAGCAAACTACAAAGAGTCTCTGTTACATAAAAATCAATTTCTTCTTAGCAAAATGTCTTTAACAGAGGCAGGAATGACTGTAATTATTCCATGTGTAAAAGACCAGTAGGAACAATCTCACCGTATGAGCTCATAATAAGGAAATGGAAAGATGTTATATGAATCTTACAGTTTGGAAAGACTAAATCAGCTAACAAAACTAAGGCTATTAGGTACCAGTGCACTCATGTTGTGTAATAATAACTTATATTAAATAAAAGGTGGCAACATAAAATAAATAACAGTAACAAGACTTAGGGAATGCAAAAAAGTAGATCTACTTTCCAGAAAAAAAAATGAACTGAAATAAATCATTTACAGATAGAATCAAAGGGATCATGAATATAATTCTATCCTGGTCTTTGGAGTCAAGAAGCAATCTCTATTCCATTTTGGTCTTTTTTGTGAAAAAATAAGGCTTAAAAGTGTAATTTATAATCTAGTAAAGTCTTAACAGCAGACTGATAAATAAATTGCTGGATGAATGTCTGGTGCAGGTGGCTCACGCCTGTAATCCTGACTACTCAAGAGGCTGAGATCTGAGGATCATGGTTCAAAGCCAGCTCAGGCAAGGAAAGTTTGTGAGACCCTTATCTCCAATAAACCACTAGAAAACTGGAAGTGGCGCTGTGGCTCAAGCCATAGAGCGCTCACCTTGAGCTGAAGAGCTGAGGGATAGCACCCAAGTCCAGAGTTCAAGCCCCACAACTGACCAAAAGAAATAAATAAATAAGATAAATAAATAAATAAATTGATGGATGATACAGGAGGAGTTACAAGGGGACAATATCTATCAAAGTGGAAAAAAAAGAGGATAACAGTCATACTTACAAATAAGTCACTTCTAATTTATCTGTTAGTTACACAACTGGATTATAGGATGAACAATGAAGTTTGAAATCAGTTAGTGTAAAATTTCTTTTAGGAAAGCCTTTATAAAAAATTAATATTTATTGAGAAATGTGGTTATGTTTTCAAATGGTAGCACTAAAGTTATCTATGCAGAACTATTTTCTGAATTGTTTGTACTGTGAAATCTGTAAGCTGTAGATCTGTAAGCTTTTCTTCTTTTGCATTCATTTGCTTACTGTTCTACAATTAAACTGCAGAGGAACACATAGACAGATTGCCAGAGATTGCTTCTGTGACATTTTTCTATGCTCAGTTATTTTCTGAATATCTGACTGAAATGTTGTGAGGTTAAACAGTTTAATGCACTTGTTTTATTTGTTATTTGTTGGGTTAGCCCAGGTTGGTTCTCTAACCACCAGATTCCAGTGAAATTGAAAAATGGAAAAAAAGATTGCTTTTGGCATCCCACTGAATTCCATTTCTAGATCTCTCTCACTCTTTGACCTTTGTCTAACTGGCACTCAGAACTGGCTTGCAGCACATCACATTGGTACATGGCGAGTCAAAGCAAACACTGTACCAGCCAGAGATCATAACCTGGCTGACTTGCTGGTCTATTTGGAAATATCCCATCCTGGAATTCCCTTTCTATAGGTCTATTCTCCATTAAAGCAACTCCCTCCAACTGTGCTTGCAGGTTTTTGCAACACATTTGCATTTTAACTTTCTGGATTAATAAGCATGCCTAAGAGCAAAATTAATGATCTTTCCTTTGCCTCTGCCTTTGAATTTTACTCTAACCCTTGATAAGTTATGATTCTTCCCAATATTCTTACATTCCTTTGCCTTCTTTTACCCACTGGATCATTAAGTCTCAATGATATTTTTTGCGTATCATTGTCCTTTTGTATTCTCTAACATTTTTGTGGCATATACTCAAGTAAACCCACCTTGAAATGTTGACATCAAATTTCATTTGTTCCCTCACCTTGAGCCTTTCTTCTTGCTATACTTTCATCACTGTTTCATAACAGTTTCTGGATCAGCTTTTTGAGCTAATGCTTTGAATAGTATAGTAATACGCAGAATGCTTCAAAACTTATTAATACTTAAAATTTGACCTAAAGAAATCCTTACTTTTGTCTCCACAAGTTGGCTTTTGATTGACTTTAGATCAGGTGAGATTGTTCGCTTTCACTATGCTCTATAAACAACTTTGCAAGAACCCAAAGGGTCTACTCAAATTTTCTTCATCTCCCCTATTCATTTTTATCCTTCTAACCATGGATTCATGGATTCAAGCTTTCATGTTTCTTTCTTCCTTTTTTATTAATAAGTTTTTTTTATTGTGAAAATACTGTATAGAGGGGTTACAATCACATGAGCAAGGTAATGAGTACATTTCTTATCAAGCATTGTTACCTCCTCCTTTGTTTCCCCTTACCATACCTGCCCTCCCATCTACCCTCACCCCTCCAAAAGTTGTAAAGTTCGTTTTTCGACATAACACCTTGTACATCTCATTGTTGCAATGGGTCCACCTGTATCCCTATTTAAACAATTTGCTTTTTCCTTTCCCCTCCCCGAATTATACCAATATCAAATACAGTGAAAACAGGGGTTATACCATGGGGGAGGGACATACAAAGCAACAAAGAAATATCTTATATATATGTTAGAAACAATAGCAAGAAAGAAAAACTATTTGAGTCCTTATCTTAGGGTTCATTTCACCTAACATCAAATTATCTGGCCGTTTCTGCTTGACTTATACATATACTACTTATTACAAATAAGGGAAACCACGGGACCTATGTTTCTTTGGGCCTGGCTTACTTCACTAATATATTTTTTTCCAAGTCTTTCTATTTCCTAACAAATGGGGCAATGTCATTCTTTCTGATGGAGGCATAGAATTCCATTGTGTATATATACACCACATTTTCTTGATCCATTCATCTACTGAGGGGCATCTGGGTTGCTTCCATATCTTAGCTATGGTAAATAATGCTGCACCTTGCACCAGAATCAACTCCAAATGGATTCATTTATTTAGTGTCTATTTTATACAAGTTGGAATTGTAAATTACATGCTCTTTGCTTCAATGAATTTTCATTGCATTAGTGACCTTAACACTTAAGACATTAACAATTAAGACATATCCACATTACAACTGGGGCACTGGTAGCACTGGATGCATGAGACTGGAAAGCTATCTGGAGAAATTCACCCTGGCTGGGCTTTAAAGAATAAATAGGTACTTTCAAAATGAAAAAAGCAAGACAACAGCAGCAGAAAAATAGACATGTAAAGAGTTCACTGCTGGAGGAACAAGACAAATCACAGTGCAGACAAAGTGCAGTGATAGAAAGATATAGGGCGGGACTTCCCCCATCAGGGACTCCAGGCATGTTTAAATTGGGTGTATGAAGATTAATCTGACAATTCTGGAGAGTCATTGAAGAGTTTCAATCACAACAGGAACACGATTGCATTTGTTCTTTAAAAAGGTATTTCTGCCAATGTCTGGTAAGGCAGTTTGTCCAGCAGAGAAGGGTGGGCAGTATACTATTTTGGAAACCCTTGAAGAAGGACATGGGGTGAGGAATGGTGGCATAAAGTTAGGCAGTGCCCGAAGGCAAAAATCAGGTAAACACAAAGATAAGGAGCCAGACTCTCTAGTTTCATCGCCGATTCAATATAGTGAAGTGGAAATGGTTTAGCGCATGTTTGGCAAGCTTCGCAAATGGAACTCATTAAATGTCTCTCTTCACGAATGCCTTCTTTTTTCATTTAGCAATTTCTCTAAAGTCTTCCCAGAGCAGTGGCTCTCAAGTAGGCTTTCCAAATTAACACTATTGATATCATCAGGGTTGTTCTTACAACTTAAACAGTCACAAGCATCATCCCCCCCATACAAGTCAGAAAAGGGAGAGTGGCTCCAGGAATCTGTGTTCTAACAAACGCTTCAGGTTCCTCGGATACACAAGAGGTAGAGAATCACTGCCTGGAGACACAACAGCTTTCAGGATACATTACTGAGTTCCTGTGGCATTTGACAAATGCAATCTTTCATTAGCAATTTCCTTTTGATTCAAGTGTCTTGTTCCTCTTCCTGGAAATAAACTCCACGAGTGTAAAGACTAAGACTTAAAACCTTTTGTGTCTTCATCATAAACCCCAGCACTAACCTGTGGTCTTCCCAAACACTATTTGGAATATACACTGTACTTCCAGCCATGGCAAATCATGCCCTTCAATGCATCTCAGGATTTCTCTGTTCACTTACAGACATACTGCCACCTGCGTACACTCTTGGAGAATCAAATTTCCCAAGTCTCCTAACTCATCTAGAAAAATCTCTTCTACCTTGAGTTGCCACATTTATACTAAATGCTTTATGAATAAGTAAAGAAGAGGAATGAATGGCTCTAAATGCAAAGATCTGTTAATGTCATATTTATGTGTGTGCTAAAATGCTAAAATATTATTCTCCATAAATATGTACAATTATTGCATATTAATAAATAATTTAAGAGATATTTAAGGTATGGAAATGTTAACTGCTTGATATGATCATTGCTCACTGTACATATATCTGTATTCAATTTCCACTGAACACTCCAAAATATATATAATGAAAATAATTATTTTCAAAACAAAGTACGCTTCTAAAAAGAAAGAATTCTTCCTGTATTTACAGAAATAATAATTTGATTATGATTAAGCATTCTAATGCATTGATTTTAAGTTAAGTTTACCAAGTATAATGCCCTAAGTCCGTGCATGAGTGGGTTATGTTTAAATTTTTGTTTTTGTCCAATGTAAGATTCAGTGCCTTAGAGAAACCAAAACAGAAATGGAGCTGAGGTCTAACTCTCCACAGGCTTAGCTGGTGTTTTCACCTTTTCTACAGGGTAGATTTAGAAATGTTAGGTTTTCTAGCATACATGAAAGTATTACAGGAATGTTTTGTTTTTTTCATACAGTAATAATAATGCAGTCTTTTTCTTTTGTCAGTCCTGGGGCTTGAACTCAGGGCCTGGGCACTGTCCCTGAGCTTTTTTTGGCCAAGGCTAGTACTCTACCACTATGATTGCTCATTATTGTAAGTGATCTTGGCACCTGTCTTGTAAGAAAATACCCAGTTGGGGAAAAAGACTATTTCATCATCTATGGCTAAGTTAGGGTATATCCAAGTGCGGGTATATGCATTTGTGTTGGACTTTGGACTAGGACCAGTCAAGGAAAAGAAAAAAAGAACACTAGTAAAATCTGATCTTGAGGAATCAGCTGGCCTGGTAGGCATGGCTATGTTTATGGGAGTGAAGATGGAGAAGGATTGATGTTGGATGCTGTCCCTGTGCAAACAATATGAGTCTTTGTCTGATAAACAACTAAAGAAAAAAGTTTGAGGGCATAGCTCAAGCGATAAAGCATTTGCCTAGTACATATCAAGTTCTGACACCAAACCCTTTCTATCAGTAATAATAAATTAAAAATAAGTCTGCATTTTTCTATCTTTCATTGAGAAAAGGTTCAGCAGGTATTTTGAGTTTCTACAAGTTTTATTGCCATATGCTAGTGTTGAGGACCACCAAAAGACTTTGCTCATATCTTTAAGGAACTTGCCACCTAGCAGAATAGAAGACAGCTACTCATAAAAATGGAAGATAATCTAAATACACTACAGGTTTGTCAAAGGGAATTGAGCAGTTTGGATGCCAAGTGTTTATGTGAAAAGTTGGAAGCAGAATTCAAAAAGCCAATGAATTAGAATTTCAAAGGTGAACAGTATTTGCATATTATTTATAATATATTAAAACTGTACAATCATACATTGAGCTACTTACAATAAATGTCAAAGATTGCTTGTTCAGACTGAATTATTTTCTGGCCAGAAGGTTCATAATAGGTCACGGAACAGGTGAATGGCATTTGTATATCAGCCTTGCTTGTTTTATACTCCAGGGATGAAGTCATGGTATATAACTGAGTGACAGGATCCATTTCCTTTTTAAAAATGATGACCACCGCTGAAAAATAAAATACTGATGGTAGTTGGTCTTTCACTAGAAAGTCACAGTCCTTAATTAATACCATAATACCTTTGAGTGGTTTTGTTCTTCTGTCTTTAGCAGGAGGAAAAACTGACATACAGCATGGTAGGATGTCTTTTCAAAGCCGTGAATCAGATACATGGACAAAAATAGAATCCCGGAATCCTATCTCCCACTCACGTCAATTAACTTCTACAACATGCCATAGGAAGAAATACTCTGTTCTTGATTCTCCTGCACAAGGTCTAAGTGGCATTTTAAAATATTACTTATTGATTGAATGTATGCATAAAGGAACAAAGTGCCTTATATAAAAGTGCCATATGTAAAAGGAGAAAAACATATTTAGATTGTGGGTAGCCTACAGAATGGCTTCCAAGGAGAAAAATCAAAGCGGGCCCATTGGATTTATTGTCCACCTCATACTTACCTCCATCCAGGGGTTGAAGCACTTTTCCACTCCTATACCATGTAATGTTGCCTTCTGGGTAACTGTCTTTTGAAATGCAGTCACCCAACTGTAAAACAAAGAAACAATACTAGTATTGCAAATACTAGTTTTTTGTTTGTTTGTTTGTTTTGTTTTTGTTTCAGTCAGGGGTATCAACTTGGAAACCCCAGAATACTTGGGAAATGCAAAGGCCTCAAGCCACTTAATTTCTGACTTGACGACATGCTATTTTATAGAATACTATTTTATCTAAAAGCAATGCTTTATATTTGGCAATATCATCTTGAGCACTTTTAAATGCGCAACAGATCCTGATGCCATTATTGAATCATATTTCTTTAACTGGCATTATTCATATTTAACAAATGCCATGATGACACTGACCATCGGCCATAGTCCATAAGTCTTCCATTACATGAAACATTTAGTGAAAGTATAATACCTGTCGTGTGTCACACTAAGTTTATTTCTCACCATAAGTGCTTTCTATGTACTTTAATCCCCACCAGCTGTTTCAATGTCTTTTGGCTTCATTATTCAATGGTTTTCAGATATTATTCAGTAAATTTAATTCTACTCAAGGAATTTGGTTCTCCCCGCCCCCCAGGAAAATGCACACAAAGGAAATTTCAGATTTGTTTTTGCCAGTCCTTGGGCTTGAACTCTGGGCTTGGGCACTGTCCTTGAGCTTCTTTTTGCTCAAGGCTAGCACTCTACCACTTGAACTACAGCGCCACTTCTGGCTTTTTCTGTGTATGTGCTACTGAGGAATGGAACCCAGGGCTTCATGCATGGGAGACAAGCACTCTACCACTAAACCACATTCCCAGCTCACTAGATACTGTTGCTTACTGCAAAAGATCAATACTCAGCTGATGTGCTGGAATGTGGAACTCCAGCCCTCTCCCCTTCTCGGTACAGCTTTCCTTCTGGCCTTTGCTACTGGGATTATTCAAATTCCATCTTCACATCCCTTTACATCAAATGTGTTTAGTGGTTTCATTTGTCAATAGAATAAAGCCCAAACTTGGAAGCTTGCTATGATCTAACCTCGCCAGAGGTTGACTTCTATCATAGCACACACATTTCTGAAATGTTTGTTTCCCAGATAGGTCATTTTCTTCCTCTTCATTTTATTTCATTTTGTTGGAAAGGATTGCCTGTAGACAATCTACTCATATTTTATTAATTCTATCATTCAGTTCACTCAAAGAGTAAGTTTTCTTTCATAAATGACCATACCTTCTTTCATTCATCGTGGTCAAAGGGACAGCATGAAGGTCCCATTGTGCTCCACGCTCTCTGAATAACATCTTCAATGCTCAGCTCCTCAAGTGCAAAGTCTATCTTATTTGTCCTGAACTCTGAGGCCACAAGAGTTATTTTAACTCCATGCTAAGTAAAAGTAATTAGTATAAAAACAAACACTCACCTTTTTTAGCTGCTCTGTTTCAAGAAATGGTGCTTTGTTTACAATTTCAGGTTGAGATGGCTGCTCTAAAGTTAAGTAGAAAAGGTTTGTAAGTATACAAAGACAAGAAAAGAGGACACCTGTGAATTGTGATTTGGTTTAGCAAATGTCAAAACAGAAGAATGATAAACAATAAAAAACAGATTTTCCTATATAATCTGGATTTTCAAATTCTGGTAGGTTTACAATTTCCAAACATTTGCTTTATTATTCTAAACATTTCTTCAAATCCTTATAACATCTGGATGTTTTATGAAATGAATATAGATTTAATAATATAACAGAGGCTAATGTATTAAGTAGGATTGACCTTTGTATAACTATTATTGATTTGGAATTTAGTTATTAGACCTGTTCTCTAATCACAACACATAGAAAACATGGGGGAAAAAGCCTTTAGAGTAGACAAATAGGTATCATTAGAGTGTAGTGAAAATTACACATCTGAATTTAGTGTTAACTATACCTTTGAAACTATATTTTGTATTAGAAATTAGGATAATGAATATTTTAGATCTACCTATATTGAAGTTATATACTTTAATTATAACAAGGCAAATTTACTATCAGTTCAAAATATAATTCTACTAATACAAGTTTCACAATGAAGACTATCTAGTTTCCAAATGAACCAATGGAAACAAGCAGTCAGAAAGATAAAGGTACAAGAAGAGAAAGACTCAAATGGACAAGATTCATAGAAACAAGAGGCATTGAGCTACCTGATTTATTTATTTATTTATTTTTGTTGCTCGTAGGTCTTGAACTCTGGGCCTGGGCGCTGTCCCTCAGCTCAAGCTCAAGGCTAGCGCTCTACCACTTGAGCCACAGCACCACTTCTGGTTTTCTGGTGGTTAATTGGAGATAAGTGTCTCATGGACTTTCTTGCCCAGGCTGGCTTTGAACCGTGATCCTCAGATCTCAGCCTTCTGAGTAGCTAGGATTACAGGCATGAGTCACTGGCACCTGGCTGAGCTACCTAATTTTAACAAAAATGACCACAAAATAATGAAAAGTTGACTGAAATTCACCCCCAAAGAGATGCCTGTTCTGAAAAACCTAACAAATGGAAATTAAAGCCCTAAATGTTGTCAGTATACTTTAATGATCTCACTAGTATAAAGGAATGCCTAAAAAAGTAAAAACTGAGAAATTGATTGGTTAAAAACAATGAATTATGTCTGAAATCCATCCTCTAAGATACAAATATCTCACACAGATCTCTAATTTGGTAAACAAACACATCCAGTATATTTACATACAAAGAAAAATTCTTAGGGCTTAAATAAATAAACCAAAATTTTCTGGGCATTGATTGAGTGACCAGTGATTGAGTGCCATTTTCTGAGAGTTTAAAATACTGAATTAACTTACCTAGTCAAATCAGAGTCAAAATGAACAACAACAAAATAAGTTATAGTTTCTCCTTCAGTTGCGTTACGTGTGGCATACAGGGAGAAATCTGGAAACTTCTTACCATAAATTCAGGCTCTCAATATAACTATTAGTTTGGGCAGCATGGCCAACTTTGTTTTCTATATTAACATGTAAAAACAATTTTCCCCTTTTCACTTCCTCCTCCTATTTGGACTGTACCTATCAACTTTGCTTTGGAAATTCTGTGATGGCTCATTGACACAGACATAATCCTAAACACATGGCTTCTTACAGTCCTTGGTTGATCCTCAGCAAAAGCCATAGGACACTTTCTTTACATCAAAAATGAACAAAACTGTGGCAAACCTAAGAAAACTTGATGAAAGGGAGCTTAAAATTTAGTCCTCTTCACATGTATATTCATTTTCCTATTTGGAAGAAAGTCATAGTGAATACTATCAAAACAATGTTAATACCTATTATATTTCTTTGAGTTATTTTCCCTTTAAAACTTGGTCTAACCCTCTCTATTAGCTGCATATTTTGTATGCAATTTTCTGTTAGGTTAGGTGGCAACAATCGATGTGTAATTGTTGGGAGGACCATAAAAGAGGACAACGTACTATTTTAACAAAATTGCATATTGATTCCAAAGTATTTCTTTAAAAAGAAACTTTATGTGCACAATGTCCTAGTATGATTCAAGGATTCATAACCAAGTAGAAAACTGAAAGAAAAAGAAATACCACAAATTTACTTACAGTGTTAAAACAAGTTAATCGAGGGCGGTGATTTAAAAATAAGCCAAATTTTCATCCTGAGCATCACCTTTTTCTAATATCACTCTAAAATCAAATGGTGGCTTTCATATATTTTACTCAATGACCTGGCTATCTCAGTTGAAATGGATGGGAGTTACATCATCACCACAGTAAAACATTGAAATCTTATAGAGAGATTTAAAAATAAGTATCCCAACATTTATGCTAAATGTGCTAGTATTTTATAGGTCATATATATGTATGTTTGCATGTATATATATACGGACACATATGTGCACATGTCTATGTGTTGTAGGAGAGAGTAGCTGTTACCTTTAGTAGTGTAGAGTATTGCCATGTAATAAATGATAAGGTGTCATATAATGAATGATAAGGCCCAAATGACTCTTTCCCCTCCCCTCCCCTTCCCTCCCCTTCCCTTCCTTCACCTTCCTTTCCCTTCCCCTCCCTTTCTTTTTTTTTTCCTTGCTTGCTTGCTTGCTTGCTTCCTTCCTTCCTTTCCTTATTTTGGTGTCAGTATTGAAGCTTCAACACAGGGTCACTCATCTGGTTATTATTATTATTATTAAGGCTGGTACTCTACTACCTTGAACAGTTTTCACTATTATCCTTTGAGAGCTGTGGTTGGTTAATGATTAAAAGGAAAGCTACAGTTGATATTTATCACAGTTTGAAACAGTTCATACAAAGAAGTTTTTTCTGCTATATTTTTTCTTTTTGTTTTATGTGAGCTAGAGAAGTGAAACAGATTTTTTTTAAAGCTGGAGATGAAGGAAATGGTGATGTACAGATGGGGGTTTGTCATGAAGAAATATACCAAGATAGTTACTTTCATTTACTTTAAGATCTAGCTTATGGTTAGTGAATGTTTCAAGCATTATCATTGAACACAACTAGAAATCATCAACCTGCTAAAATTTGTATATCCTGACCTCCAGCAATCTCACAGGCAGGTGAAGATAAAGTAATAAAAGCAAGAACTCTTATATATCACCCTCATGGCTCTACTATTACTGTCAAAAATGACCTGCCGATAGCTCATTTTGACACAGGAGGACACAAACAGGCAGATGTGCTTTCAGGTGTTTTTCTCAGCAGCAACCCAAGCTCAGATTTGACAAAAACTTAAAGCTTACATGTCCATGAAATCATGTTGTGTATATCACTAATAGATGGTGGAAATTATATTTTATATATAAAGAATAAAATTGAAATATGCAATGTAGGCCTCATTCATTAAATGAAGAATTCTCAGCTTTTTCCTCCACTCCTCTTAAAACACTATTTTCAGATTGAATAACTTTGCTGGGGAAGATGGAAGAGAGATACTCACTTCTGATAAAGCATAAGAAGTACCCAAATTCAAAGTTTTCAAATAGAAGCTTCCAAAGAACTCAGAAGCCAACAAACATGGCATGCCCCTAGAGAGCTTGTCAGATTGTGTCAAGATACAGGCTTTCCTGTGATACCACAAAACACCAGTAGAGGAAACTCACATATTAGAATTGTGAAGTTCAAGTGCTTTATAACATCCCCTTCACTGCTCCCCCCACCCTTTTTTATTTTATTTATTTATTTTATTATTATTATTTTTTTGGTCCCATCATGGGGCCTGAAGTCTGGGTCTGGGCACTGTCCCTCAGCTCTTCAGCTCAAGGCTAGCGCTCTACCACTTGAGCCACAGCGCCACTTCCGGCTTTTTTCTTCTTGCTTATGTGGTGCTGAGGAATCGAACCCAGGGCCTCATGCATGCAAGGCAAGCGCTCTACCACTGAGCCACCTTCCCAGCCCCTATCCCACCGTTTTTGTAAACTGAGATACTATGTTGCCCAGATTAGTCCTGAAGTTAGGACTCAAGTGATCTTCCCATATCTACATCCAGAGTAACCGGATCTCTTTTTCATAAACAAGTTATGAATGACATTGAAAAATGTAGCAGAATTCCATCGAACTGTACAGAATCACGTTTTCACCTTCCCCAACCCCCTCTCTCTTTTTTAAGCTCCTTACAAAGAGTTAAAAGAGCAAAACTCCTGAACATCTGAAGCATTCATTTTACTGATGAGGTCATCTCAGAGTCTTGGCTGAAGTCTGAAATTAGGAGCAGTTTTGACAAAGCAAGGTCTTCCTGTGATCAGCTCAGTGATTCCTTTTCCATCTCAACACTAACAGCCATTTGGCTCTCTGGGATCCCATTTGACCTCTGAGTCTTTTGCACAATCACTGGAACATTTAAAGGCCTATTCTTCCTTCTGAATAGTTTCATTAACCTCAAATGTTCACAAAATGCAAACAGTTTGATTTTGCTACTACTCAACTTTTGAAAATCGCTGATTTGTGGTGTTAATGCACCCATTGTTTAGAACTGGACTGGCCCATGTGTATGCTTTCTTGTGTCTAAGCAATAGCTTAAAACTAAACAAATCAATCTGTACTACAGGTAAAGTCATCCATCAGGATGTGTAGTTTGAATAAATATAATTTCCCTTTGCCCGTGAGCAAGGAATTCTGCCGCATGCTGCTGTAGGATTGGATCACAGGAGCCACACGGGATTCTATGGTACGTGGTGGGTGTTGCTAGGTGACTCAACAGAGGACTGATTGATGAGCCCAGTAACTCTTCCGTGACTGCCATATATGCATGCCAGAATGGATGTCTCCCAGTCACAGCTGCTGTTGGCTTCACAAAAAATGACCCAAAGTAAACTCATTATTTGAAAAAAGAAGTCACAGAAAGTCCATATATGATCTTGTAAACACTGCCTTTATCATGAGCTATGCTGTTCATTTGATTGGATTCGGAGTGTCTCATAGTTGCCATTTTCAAGAGTGTGCAACTTGTCTATGTAAATTCTCCCTGGCCCCCAGCCTGGAATGCAAATTCTGTTTCTGAGCATTGCTTTGTTCTCAACAACATTCAAAAGAGAAGGGGACAGTGGTGCTGGCCATGTGTGTGTATGGTTGGGGAAGAAGAAGGAGGGAAATGTTTTCTGCAGCACAGAATCCTCTGTATTCCAAAGCAGCTTACAGATTTACTTGAATTAGACCAACTGAATTTTTAGTTTTAGATTTCTGTATAGCACTATGGCATTCTTTTAAAAGAAAAAAAAGATTGAGAAAATGTCATGAATGAATCTCCTAAATGCAGCAACTTAAATTTTCTCAACTTCCTTTTATACTACCTTGACATTCAATAATTTTACTGTAGTATCAAAGGAACTTGGAAATGGAATATTTCTATACATTATTAGGAGAGTGCTGTCACTTTATATATCCTTGACATCTGGTTGTATTTATGGTATCGTAAGATATATACATATATCCTATGAGCAGTGGTAAGTTCACTTGTTCTAATGCTATCAGAACAAAATTTGAAGAAATAAAGAATCTGCTTGGGCTCTGGGAAAATTCAAAATGCTGGCCTTTGACTTTATGTGCTTCATGGGGGTAGACATGGCTGGCAAATACTTGGTACTTGTTCAAGTCTAAAATGATTGTAAGGTCAGATGATTTCTGGAATGTGCCTCCTAAACTGAACTGAAACATGCAATATGCTTTTTCAAGGCTCTTCTGGAGAATGTGTTTTCTTTGATAGTATAAGCACCCTTTGAGTCCACATTCTGAACCCATAGGAGCTTTGAAGTCCATATAAATACTTAAGGGAGAGACCTACTTAGTTGCATAAGTTATTACAGAAAATTGAAGGGGGGTGGAACCCAGCTTACTTGCTGTAGTTGAAGCCCTCTGGGTTTTTTTTCTTCACTATTTATTTTAATAATTACTAGGTGCTGTCAAAAAGTCTTATCAGAAAGCAGAAGGAATAAAAAAGTTGAAAAATAAAAGATATTCTTCCCTAATTAAAAAGGACTAGCTTTCTGAAACTTTTGAAACCTACTTTTCCTCCTGTAATTTCTAAAACATAAGGTAGAACTCTTTTATTTGAATCTTAAGAGATGAAATGCTTTAATTATACCTTCTCAAGTACCATTATCTATATATTATTATTAGGCAAAGGTAACTTTGCCATAGTGACTATAATAATTATGCTAAGTTTCTTTTCTTTTTATTTTTTTCTTCTAAACTTAAACCTTTACCTTAACCTCACACACATTCATAGTTTGCTGAGATTTTATATTTTAGGAAATTTTCTTAGCCAAGTGAACACTTTAAATTCATCAATGAGCATTAAAGGTCAGGACACATACACATATCATAAACATAAAAATTATATACTTAGATCTCTAGGTCACAAGATAGCCTGGCACTGACATTGTATTTGTTGCCTGCATATATTAAAGTGGCAATTTAGAATGGTTCAGCCTAATAATCTATTGGTATTTCTTTCTGACATGCAAAGATTCTATGTCTCTCTATACCCCAAAATATTTATTTGTATGGCTCGGTGAAAATCACGGCTCATATGCCAGTTCTTTTTTTCTTTCTTTTTTTTTGCCAGTTATTTCTGTAGTATTCAGATCTCAGAAAACTTTACACAACAAAAAACAAAGACTATTATTTTAGTTCCTTGTTTCTTGTTGCAAATCTCCTCTTTCAATTTCAGACTCTACTTTCCTTGTGGACGGCATGCATGAGCAGAAGGAAGATCTCTAGAAATCTCCCAAGATGCATGATGTAGAGGCACCACAGGAAGCTCATTCTTTTTTCTGAAGAACCTGCTGTAGGACTAACCATTGCTACCCCTTAACAGTCACATGTAGCGCTACTTACTGAACACTTTCACTACTGTTGGGGCTTCAAACACATTGTCCTCCGTCACCAGCATGCACACGAATCTCTTCTCGTCACTGATTTTTGCATTGCTGATAGACAGGGTGTAGTTTTCTGAGAGGTTCAATCTGTCTTTGTATTCCGGTACATCATCATACTGCACACTTTTCTTTGTAGAAGACCTGAAGGCGATAAATACTGGCGAGCCATCGGGCTTCTCCTGAAAATTGAAATAATGTGTTTTATTTAAAAGGACAAGCATATTCAGACACATAAGACGAAATTCAGAAAAACAAACCTTCCTTGGTCACCTTCCTATACCAATATTTACTATATTTTTCTTCAAGAATAATAATAGGGCCTAACAGCCTCCAGAAGTCTTTGCTTCCAGAAAATTCACTCTTCCTAAGAAGGAAGCCGTAAGTTGTTTTACAGGTTGATTTAAATGTGGGGAAAGAAAAAGTGCTGAGCTCAAACCCACTGAGATTTTTGTTTCCCACCATCTAAAGGACAAAATTAGGTGCTGTTTTGAAACTGACAAGGGCTGGTCTTCTTCAATATAAAATTTAAAACATAAACCAATATAGACATGTGGAAAATGGTGTTCTGATAAATATTGCAGCAAGTAATATTCTTGAGCTGCAAATACAGATCTAGATATTCTGGGTAGCTATATTCAGGCCTATTCTTTATTTTAATCCACATACATTAAAGGTCCCCTTCTTTCCACAGAGCGGATGCGGCTGACCTTTCTACGACCACCACTTACCCTCTCTTCCTGTAGAAGAGCATTTATCCTTGTAAAACAATCATGTGCATTAAGCAAGAAAATCAGGTTAACCACTAAAGTCCACATTTTTTACTACCTGAGTCATAAAACACAACTCAAGAGGCTTTAAAATAGTAATTTCTCAAAATGAGATTAAAATCTGGCAAATACAATGATGCCAAAGGATAGAGACGAGGCACATTTCTTCAAATTTTCTTAGCCAAAAGACCATTTAGTCTAAAATTGGGATCAATTCCTTTTTTTACTTACCTTACCAGGCTGCTGAGAAAATAAGAAAAGCATGCTGACATACTTGGAAAAATTTTTAAGATTCTGTAGAGACTAACTTCTAAAAAAATATTTGTATCGATCACTAGGCTTATCGTGGTGTCTAATAGTTTTACAAGTATATGAATACTTCAGTGATAGCATTCTTACATCTTTTAGCATTATCCCAGGTTTACAGTGAGAATCCTTGTCTTCAGTTATTTCTTCATGGTAGGATAAATAGACCAACACTTTAAGTTTCCACAGCCCTTCCCTTATGTTATTAATTTGTGAACAATTATGTGGCAGATGTTTTGGCTTTCTATGCAGCAGGAATTGATTTAATGCTTGTAAGCACCTTGGAAGTTCGAATTGTAGTTTCATTTACAGATTAGACAATGAATCCTAAATTAGCTTCTCAAGGTCTCTGCTGCTGAGATGTGAGTTCAGTTTCCTGGCCTCCTTCTGACTATACTGTTCCACTTTAGACAGTGGGTAGATACTTTTTCCATACCTAGCACTGTGGTTGATGCTAATAAAGAGCTGAGAGGGTGACACTGGGAGGAGTGGACAACTGTGGTCTCCATTCACTGGAAGTTCATGGTGATGAGGAGAAACTAACCCATCTTCTCCTCATGTTTGCTTCCTTTCATTTTCCCCCTATTGCTTCCATTTGTCTTTCAGGTGCTTGCATTACATTAGAAGATTTATACAATTTCTGCAAAACAACGCTGACAAAATAACTCAAATGTATCTCATCTGATTATTCTTGGGTCTTTTTGCTTAACAGACAATTGGAAACTGGCCATTACTGATTGCTTTTCAGTGCTACCATTTACATGGCAACTATTCAGTGTCATACTGAAAATTTTCTGTGATCCCCAAAGACTTTTTTCACTTGATTCCATTCATTTTGACTGCAAGTTTGATCCACAGATGAATTAATTGTGCGGTACATACCCCAAGCTCTAAGAATTTGGGAGGATGCTACATAGACTTCTCTCCTAGGTCTTAACTTCATCTTACCATGTTAATAAAGATCTAGAAATACTTAGAACTATCTAGAAAGAATCAGATACTAGGAGAAGGAGGGGAGAAGTCAGAAGAGTGGCATGGTGTCCCCCCACCCCCTTCCATTCACATGCCACACACACACACACACACACACACACACACACACGGGTTACAGTTTTGTAGTTCACAATTACATTCGATGACTTCTTCAAGCAATTACCACAACTCAGGTGCCCTTAAGTGCTTTGGTATGTTTTGCTTTAGCCATTCCATCTCTGTGAGGAAGATACTCTTATCTGATTTGATATTGAAAATTAGGGATTCATTCGCTTGCCCAGAACCCCGTGGGTTATCACCTATTAGTCTGGCTTCAGAAACCACAGGCTAAAAGACTGTCAGGTCAATTTGTGTATTCTGAAGAATTTTTTTTTTCTGGGAGATGTGAGAAGAAAAAGGCCTAAAAAAATGAATCAAACTATACTTTTGTACAAATCATAATGCATCACACACCATAAAAAGCCATGAGAACTGTTGTTAAGGAGAAGCATCTAATGAGTTACTTGAGCACCAAGTGTTTTCCTTGCTCAAATTCCAGTTAATATTCAAGGAGCTAGAGATATCTTCTACCAAGTCCATGGCTACCATGGCTACATGAAAAGAGCAGGAGCACTGGGGAGCAGAGCCCCACAGATGGTCCTTTGTGGAAATCCATATATCTCTACCTCTAATTCATAAGAATGAATTTTTCACACTAGTAGGACCTAAGAATGGTGTATTTATTGCATTTATTTTGAAATAGTGTTTGTTATACAAACCTAGAAGTTGTATTGGCTCATCTAATACAGTTAATTCCAACCTTCTTACTTTCCTATACATTGATGAACACTGCCATTGCATAAATTTAAAATTCCACACTTACATATTTCCATTTGCCAAACATGAGATTCTGAGGTACATCGAGTCGGCAAGGCATGATTATGGTATCTCCGTATGCTGAATTTACAGTATACCATCCAAGACCTTCAGGTGAAAGGAAAAACAAAAAGATATTTTAAATGTTTTGTTGATATCATAGTATAGGTGTGTTGCGGAACGTATCTGTGGGTCATCTTTACTGTATTTAACAGAAATATACTCACAAAGAACACCTTTTAAATGATCAAGCTATACTTACATATATTTGAATTACTCTTTATGTATCTTTACATATGTTTTTACATACATTTAAAAATACTGCCCAAGCTATTATTTGGCAAGCTAAAGAAAAACTACCAAAGTAAGAACTAATACATTTATAACCAAATTCAATTTTGTTTGTAAGAAGAAAAATGGGAAGGTAAAGAGCACTTTAAAGCTGTAGAGGTTGAGCCAGGAGCCAGTGGCTCACACCTGTAATCCTAGCTACTCAGGAGGCTGAGATCTGAGGATGACAGTTCAAAGACAGCCTGGGCAAGAAACTCCATGAGACTCTTATCACCAGAAAACCAGAAGTGGTGCTGTGGCTCAAGTGGTAGAGTGCTAGCCTTGAGTTGAAGAGCTGAGCACAGCACCAAGTTCAAGCCCCATGATGGACAAAAAAAGCTGTAGAGGTTTAAATATTAATTTAATACTTTTCCAAAAAAATATAATACTAATATATTAATATGCAATATTAATATAATAGTAATATAAAATAATAATATAAAATTTCTTTTAAAATTGTTATTTACAAACTGGTTAGTACTTTAGGGGGACAGAGAAATCTTATTTAAATCACAATTTGTTATTACAGGATGAAAAGCTCCCTGGTCTTATTGATGAGTGGGAAATCTATAAATAATAGGTAATTAAAATGTCAAAACAAAGATTTTTTTCATTGGAATGTAAAATATTCATCATATTTGTATATAATCATGAAGTATGAAGAAATTGAGCATTTTGGGACAGAAAGACAAATACTATACATTATTTCTAAAATAGTAGATCTGATCTGAAAGGAGAGACTAGAAATGTTTGGGAGAAGAGGATAGAGATTGAATGTTTTGGTGCCTAATTATTACAGCATAATGGGTGACTATAATTCATAACACTCTACTGCTAAAAGGTATAATGTTGAAGACTCTAAACCTAGATAAATTTTAGGTAACTTATACTGATTTGTTCAGGACAAATGGTATATTGCATAAATATATTCAAATATCATACTGTACCCCATAAATATGCATAGGTATTTCATGTTGAAAATTTTAAAAGCTCACTCAAGTTAATAGCAATTAATAAACAAGTTATATAGTTGAAGTTATTTTGTCTACAAAGATATTTAACGTGTAAAACAATTTAACAAGGTATGTCACAATTGGACATGCATGTGAAGGGGGTAAACTATAGAGACAAAATGGTATTTTGTCCACCAGGTGGTGCCAAAGGGCAAAGCTACAGCAATCTACAACGCATAAATAAAATCATTTTGTCTTTCTGAAGAAGCAGGACTGCAGAGATGCTGTCATTCTCAGTTAACCACAGTATGTGCAAATCTTTTATATAGAAGCTAAATTCATTCACTTTTTACGGTAAAAAGAATAAAATTTCTATTTTAAAATAATATTTATTGAAAAGGCTACTTCTCCTTTAAGCAATTTATCCCACTGCATACAAACATAAAGAACAAAGAGCAAAGTTAATGTAAATATGCAACACAGCAACATTTTCACAATTGCTAAGATACAGAATGCAAACGATGACAAGTGATAATGTCTTTTCACTTGAGTCAGAGAAGAGGTACATCTTAAATTGTTTATTGTTATATAATAAGGAATATTTTTCTAAAAAAATTAAAATTAACATATTACAACTACATTTTTGGTTTTGAAACATCAAACACCAGAAGATTGCAAATGAAGAGATGACCGAGTCAATCTTTTGTGAATAAAAAATAATGGGGAGGAGAGGTTGTTAACTGCATTTTTTTTTGCTTTATTTATTAATGGTGAAGTTCTAAACATGCTAGGCAAGCACTCTACCAATAACCTACATTGGAAACCTAATGAGCATTGAGATATATAGTCACAGACATGCAAACTAATCACATTTAACACACAGCTTTATTTCCAAACAGTACTTGGTTTCTATGTTCCTTGTTTCCTCTGGAATTTCTACGATGTATTGTATGACCCGCCCATATACAGGTGCAGGTCTGACAAGCCCAAGAAGCCATTGTGTGAGTTCATGAAGTGAATTCAAGATGAATTGTCTTTCCTTCATATGAGGTGGCAAGACATGTCTCCATGTCTTCTAACTGATGGGTTCCCACCCATGGCTAACAACAAGCAACTTAAAGTCTCAGGCACCAATAAAGTGAATTTTTTTGCAAAGTAAAGGAAAAAAAAAAACCCAACAACTGACCAACAAAACAATGACAAAATTCCAATGGTCTTTTCCAAAATTATAATGCTTTGTTCATTTTAGGAGACCTTTTTTCTCCTCTCCCTTCTAGAATATCAATGTGTCGTACACACACAGAGTTTTACAACAAATTTGAAAACTGTCTGACTTTCAAGAACCTGGTATATCATTAATATGAAGAAAGTACAACTGCAACAGGGAAAGGATTACACATTTCAAGTGTTTGTGTCTCCAAGAACAATGCTTGGTGTTTAAAGGACCCCTAGTAATATGATTTCTCATTTGATTGCTGTAGAGCACTTTTCTAGTTTGTTATCAAATTCGCATCTTTGCAAACCAGAGAGAATTTGTTAACACTAGAACTTTATAAGTGATTTCTTATTCCTAGTGCATATTCTAAAGGCTGACTTATCTTACTTTCCATGTGCAGGTTGGTTACTTGAGTTTTGTCCTTGCATAAAAGGCAATCTCTGTCTTGAGGAGGGAGAAAAAAGCGTATTTTGTAGCATATTTTTACAGGTTTCTTGGTTGGGAAGATAGAAAGATAATCTCCTTTCCATTCAGGTGAAATTAGAAGTTGTTTGTGCTTTCTGACGTGAAGATGATATTGAATATGTTCCTTTCCTCATTTGTGATGAGGACAAAGCAAAAAGTTAGTGGGTTTTCAGTTTGTTTTATTAAAGATATTTGGAAATTCATGGATTTTGTTTTCATTTCTTTTAGTAACAATACCAAATATAGAAGGAATCAGGACTGAACTCTGAAGAGCAGAGCAAACAGAAACAAATAAGACCCATGAGAAGAATGAGGACAACAGCCACCGACAGAAGCTTTGTTCCTCAGCCCCTGGGCAGAATGAATGATTGGATTGATGGCATTAGGAGCCATACACTTGTGCTTATTTTAGAATCACATTTCAAGTCTGCAATAGTCATCAATGTTTTTCTTCTGGAAAGAGGAGATTGAATCCAGGGTTATCATAGAGCAAGATTAAAAGCTCACATCTGTGGGAGAGCTAACTTCTCCACCCCCTAGGGATAAAGTGGCTCCTAAGACCTTAGTGATCTGGTGATGAATTAACAACCTAATTTGTAGAGATGTCTTAACCTTTGAGATGAAGTGCCAGCAACAGCCAAAGCACCTGACAACCTCTATGATTCTGTTTATACTTTTCACAGAAGAAAGAGCTTTTTAATCTTTGAATTACCACATCTGAAAATTCAGTTGAGCTTACTAGACCTCCCTTGTAATTATGTCCCTGTAATATTAGTTGATTAAACTACTCATGGTTTTGTAGTCTTCAGATGAATAGGCAGCACTGCAAATATAGAATTCTTATGATGTCCTTCTCAAAGGATTCTAAAATGCAAGTAAATACATATGTGCATAAACAGGAGCTTTTCTCTACAAGGATAATCTGATGATATATATGACTAGATATGTCAGATATTTTATTTATATTTTATTTATTCTAAATACTTAAGGTATTTTGTGAAATATTTTTGCTATTCATGTCTTCAAATGTAAAGAGAGTTCATACTTGAGAAGCAGTATGTAATTTTAAATAAGCTTATTAACCAAAAATGAACAATATATTTAGAAAAGTTACATAGGAGAATTGAATGGAAACAAAATGTGGTAAGAAAAACCTCTTGACTGATATATCAAATGTATAGAATCCCAGGCAAGTTCTTGAACACTCAAGTGAATTACAGTCACATATCTGTACAGCAAACAGCTTATAAGGAGCATCAAAAACAGACTTGCAAAATTTTGAAGCTAGGTGGTCACTTTTGCTCTCTGATTAAGATAATTAAAAATCCAAAGGTTTTGATCACTCCAGTGATGAATGGTTTTTCCATAAAAAATAATTGTCCAGTTCAGACTGATCATTTTCCTTGCATTGGTGATATATACAGGCATTTGAATTGGGGCATCATAAAAGTCAGAATCTGCTGCCACATTTCCAGTAGAAGAATAGCAAGTAGCATAGAAAATTGGGTTAATTGTTATTTATTACATGGATACTTTAATCGCATCACCATCCTTAAAAGCACTTTTTGAGCCCTGAAGCCTTAAGGTGCCATAAGTGTTAATTGCAAGTACAAATTGGCTTGGAGCTTATGGCATAAGAACTAAATCCTAGTTTCATAGAAATTTGTACTTACTAGCAAAGACTTACTTGAACAAGTAAATTATGGGAGAAGGTGTAGGTGTAAGTGAAAGTTGATTATTAAAAATACTGTCATAATGCTCTTATTTATTAATGAGTTAGAATGTGCGAAACTCTTATTGACATGTGAATACTTCATAATAGCAGTGTTTCTTAGTTGGTCACTAGATTGGCAATGTTATAAGCAGAATATAAGAACGCTGGTCTGTGTTTTAGGAGGATTGCAGCATCTCTACTATTGATCAGATGAGAGTTGCCCATTCCCTCCATGGCAATAATCAGATATTACAAATGTCCCTTCTGTGGCAAAATTGTCCCCACACACTCCACTGAGAACCACAGGTGTAAACCTTTGATCAATTTCTGATATTCAATAAAACTATGGGTTCCAAGGCAGAAGAGTTTAAAGTCATATACACTAAACTACAGAAAAACAAAACAAAACAAAACATAATTGAATAGAAGC